TTGAGGAGAGGGCAGTCGGCCTTCCAGTGTCCCTTATGCTGGCATTTGTGGCACCTGCGCTTCGGCTTCTTTGCAGCTTGCTGAGGCCACGCATCATGGGAAGTCGCGGAAGGAGGAGGGTCGCCGAAGATGCTGCGACTGGGGCTCAGTTGTGGCCACGCATGAGGAGGAGTGGTGGTGGTCACTCGTCTGAGGTTGCAGCAATGGCGGAGGAGGGCTTGCGACGATGGTGATGGCGATCGGGAAAAACAGGCGCGGCGACGAGATTTGAAGAAGATGACGACGGGGTTGAAGGATGGTGATCGGAAATTTGCGTGGGGGAAAAGATGAGGGCTGCAGGACGAGAGAGAAGACGAGGGAGATGACTACGGTGTGTTTTCTTCTGTCGAGAGAATTAAGGAGCACATTTGCTCTTTCTCTATTCTGAACGAGAGAAGGTTGCGGGATGAGTTGATCGAGCGAGATATATACAAGACTTAGGGTTTTTGTCTTTCCAATCAAGACACACACACACACACACTTGCATGGGTGGACCGGGTCAGGCTCGCGGGCCGATTCGCACAACGGCTCGGGTTTCGGTTTTCTCGAGCTCAATTCAATCGCACGGTAGATTAAATAAATCGGATATTATTTTTATATATAATACACACAATTTAATTAATTAAATAATAGTAACATTTAGACATTTAGGCCTTTAATTATAATTTGACAAATAAATAATATTATTAATAATAATAATCCCAAAATTATTCGTAAATAAACGGGTTTACGAATCGGCCGGTTTCGACTATCGGTTTATCGGGCTCAATTTCATAAAATCCGAACATATATGACGCTCGAAAAAATAAAATAAAATAACAATATTAATAATGTCGAAATATCCGAAAAAAACCCATTATTCAAACGGATTATAATCGGTTCACGTGATTAAACCGAAATCGTCGACTGGCGAATGTTTTTCAATAAAACAATCGAGTATTCCAACCTTTTATTGAAGTCGACATTGCGACCAATAAAATAAATTTAACCATATAAATAATATTCAATAAATAAAATATGTCGAGAAATTCTATAAATCGAACGGGACGCTACAATATATCCTCCTTAAAATATTTCCGTCCTCGGAAATGCGGAAGAACATGCATCTAAAGGTAACGACTGACTCAAGCAGGAATTTCCAATCACGAGGTCCGGGCATCACTCTCCGGAACTCGATTTCGTTCCCATGAGTCCCATCGTCTTATACTTGAAAGGCATGTACTCACATACAGGAACCAATCCGATTCGCCCTATGCTCATATGTTTACCTTCTTGCTTGGGAGGGTGATCAGTCCTGCCCGAGCTCAGGCGTACATCTTCTTGCAAGGGACCCAGTTCGGTTTAGCCTATACTCATGAGTATCAACGACTTGCTTCATACCTAACAACACACAAGACCTCAACAGGTCGCTCGGTGTATTGTCATCGTACTCCGACTACCTCACCAACAAGGTGGACACGTGACGCCAAGTTTCAGTTCTGTATCCGAGTCACACTGATAACTTACTCACGATTTCATCACTGAACGTGCGTCTCCATCCGAGACCATAACACGGTACCATATATAAACAACACGACACCATCATGCTCATACCCTCATGATATCGACTCCACGAGTCAAACGCAACCCTTATGCACAAACATAAGGCTTGACCAAAAGCAACACGACATTCCCAATTTGCCGACTCGAGAAACTCTCAAGTAAAACAAAGGGACTCATCGACTACACTCTTTAATCAGAAATCATCGATTAAGGATTATACACATTTCAGTGGGACTTCGAGTTCTCAGTTCAAGGCTTGCAAGAAAAAAGGTTTGAATAGGCTAACCAAATGGTTCAGTATGAAATGTTTCGAATAGTTCAAGAAAAGCATCAGTGATTGGCCGTATACCTGGCTTGGGGAGTTCATGCGTACAGTGATGGCGGCTGCAGTTCGCATACGAGTCAATGGTCGGTCGTGCACAAGCCCCACGTCTCTCAGCACGGTCATGCATGCTCGGCCACCACTTCGCGTGGCTACACCCAGCCAGGGTCGGCGTTCGGTTCAAGGTTCCAAGTCCACTATTTTACCCAAACACACTATAACACACGAAAAGATCACACGCTTGCGATAGATGAGAATCGTCGAAAGAATTCGAATACGGTTTTCCGTCGGGAGTAATCCCAATCAATAGCTCCTGCCCGGAATTACAGCAACTAGCTCACCTCGACTCTTCCGACTAACAGTGTCGGCTGTCACGTCAGCTCTTACCCAAGTAGCTAACCGTGCCAGTAGTCTTGATCGAGCGCAATTCACTTCCCAATCTTCACACTTGGAATTTGAACGCGAAGTTCCTCCCGGGGATTCCGAAAGGAGTAAAAGAACAAAAATTTCTATGATGAACAAAATTTAGAATAATTACGGTTCTGCACTACGCGATGTGCTTGGTTCTAACCCGACTATCCTCCTTAAAAGACTTCTGCATAATCTTTTAAGGTGGAACAACACTTCATCTTCTTCTCGAACCGAATTGGGCTGGCTTCAGCTCCTGTGCGTTTATCTCAATGTCGAGCGTGAATAATTATTGTCCCCCTCGAGGTTAGGTTATTCACAAAAGTGGCGATAGAAAAATTTTGCCCTCGAGTCTTCATGATATTTTAGCAATGGCATTCAAACGAAACTCTCATACTTCGCAAATGAATAAAGACAAACAGAAACAAAAAGGTGCTTAATCTTATTTGCAAATTAAAATGAAGTCAATACCCAACCCAAGATAAATAAGAATCGGCTAAACTTCAAGAGAAAACGAAATTTAAGGTTGGGAAGCTTGAAAAAAATTGCTTACACAGTGAAACCAAGGTAGGGGTTTGAACATACCCCAAATAAAACAAGAAAAGAATTAGGTCGATCACAACTTCCGGTGTCTATTGCTCCATTAGAGGTATCACAAAACAAATGTCAAAAGATAAGAGTCAATAAAACAATAAAAATGTCGAGCCTAAATCCCATCTGGAATTCTATGCCAGGGAGGGAAAACCTAGCGAAATCGCGAAAATTGGATAACAGACAAGGGTCTCAAAACAACCAAGTTCGCCACTCATCTAGAGTTCAAGAATGTTTAAAAGTAGGAGGATAAATTCCTAAGCCCCGGTTTACATCTCATAATATCGTAAGACTTCACATAAGCAATTTCATATTACTCAAGTATTCATACCTGAGTTGGCGCGGCACGACGGAAGCGAGTGGTCATATACTACATCATTTTATGCAAGTATTTCACAGAGTTCTCATAACTCACATATACCATTCTACAAAAATGCAGACTGGCTCTGATACCAAACTGTAACGCCCCACTTTGATTTCAAAGAAATTCTGGACTTTCAAAAGAATCAGAATAAATTTTTCAAAATTTATTTCAAACATTGTGGCGTTACTCATATATTTCAAATTACTTCAACGACATAACATCAATTCCACAACATAAATCATCTAACTCCCAAAACGGGATTTATAAATCCATAAATCATCAATTCGCCCAAATCGGGTTCCCAAAACAAAACTCAAGTTTTCAAGACATAACAATGTCAATGGGGCATCTCCCCAATAGTATCTCAATACTTCATAAATTCTCAGAGCTCGAAAATTCATAAATCATAAATAATCATAAGTATAGGGAAAGGAAAATCAATTAATAACTGGTCTCATAGACCGACTACCACTCGCTCTATTCCGCCGTCGTACCCGCCTTACTTAACTTGAAACGTTAATTTCAGGTGGGGATGAGCATAGTTGGAAATCGTAGTGCTCATCACTATGCAGTAAACATTAATCAATATAAAAAGCAGCAATCATAAATAAGTCAGGTATGGTCGCAGCATGTATACGAATCAATTAATTATCCCATCTCTTATCCCAGAGTCAACCCTCATGTGCACACCTACGCATAGACTAATGCTGATACTCGATTCGAACGCCAAAACCTACGAGTTGGTCTTACAACGATCCCCAGCCAGTAGGAGTAATCCACCCCGCCGGCCAAGACCTACGATTTTGTCTTACAAACGGGGATCACCAGCCGAGGGCCCATGCCCCGGTCTTACGGCCATACATAAATAAAGGAGACTACCCATCGGGTACGTTCTATAGCTAAGGGGATAACCGTTCGACGGTCGGTACAGCTCACATCGAAGGCTACATGGTTCACATGCATATATTGATCATACCGCACGTAAGACAACAATTTACTGCATAGCAATTTTAAATAAAACCACTACAAGAATAATCATTTTTAGTGGCGATAATGTTTGTCGCTATATATTCGAATGTTGTCACAATATCATTTTGTGTCAACAATACAAGTTGTTGCTAGGTCGTGGCTGTAAATACCGTGACTAAAGGTTTTAGTGACGACTACCATGATCATCACCAGATCCAAATTTTTAGTCACAATAAGTATCGTCACTAAAATTCAATTTTTTGTCACATACATTACTCGTAACTATAAATTGATATTATAGTGACGAACTAGTTTGTCACTACATTTGAACCATTTAGTCACAAATATTATTGTCATAATAATATGTCTTGTAGTCACTTATGATTTCTTGTTCTTGTCACATATTATTATTGTCACTAAAATTATATGTTAGTCACAAAAGATATAGTCCTTTAGCCACAAGTGTTTAGTGTCACTTGAACATAATATCTTTTGTAACATACAATTAGTTATATAGCCACAGACATCATTGTCATAAGAACCCAATACATATTGTCACGAATCCAGTGCCTATTGTCACAAAAATTTTTATAGAAGCAATTACTAATACTCGTCACAAATCTAATAATAATCAACACTTTTCTATTATAATTATTGTTTATATATATTAGCCAAATCAAATCAGTGACTATTTTTATTTTGATGTATAAATAACATATCAACAAAATTAAACATATAATATTCATTCATCTAAAGTAAATGCATGAAATTTAAATACTGTTTAAACAACAAAGGTGTTCTATAAAAAGGATTAGAGCTAATCAGTGTATATAATGGAACAAACTTTACAAATTACTAAAAGAAATAAAATAAGAGAACAATAAAAGAATCGTCGTTAACTCGAGGATCATCTCAATTTCATTCAATACGTTTCTCTTCAAACCTGCTAAGAAAAGAAAAAATAAAATCATGGTACCAACTTAATTAGACAAATGGTTATGAGGAAGTCAATAAATTTCTGGATTCAAATTCATAATCAACCCAAGGCAGACAAAGAGAAAAGCACAACTTGTATGGCACAACTTGTATTGCACTCGGGATTCAAATTCACTAGAGCTCACTCGGGATTCAAATTCAACACAAAAAGAAAAGCACATACCCAAGACAGAAAAATTGCACTCACGATATTTTGTCTTGAACAAAAGAAAGACTTTACCTTTTATGTGAGAGTCGGCATGAGAAGAAAACAATGAGTTCCTTTGGGGCCAATTGAATTGGGGTTTGTAGTTGCTCAAGTTCTTTCTCCTCCAAGGAAAATCATAATCAACCCATAGAAAAAGGGCATGAGGGTAAATAACAGTATCTGAACTATAGGTCTCTTTGCATGGTGAGGGAAGGTTAATTATTTAGAAAATAAAACAACTTGCATTATGCTTACATAATACCAGCCGTCTACTTTATCCTATTTTTCGAGCTTCTCACCAGCCATAAGATTAAGCTGTCCACAAAATAAAAGAGCTTAGCCTAATTCACACCTAAATTGCACAACAAAGTAACAAATATGTCCAAGAGAGTGCTGTAGATAACTAGACATGACAATCAACCCTTTTGTATATAAGAAATTTTTATTGAATGTGAGCATAATTGGTCAATGGCAGAGTGATGCAACTATATGCACATAAAATTGTAAAAAATCAAATTAAATCATCCGCTATCAAGGGAAGATCTCATGCCGGGTCAGGAAAGAACCTGTCTAAAGTGCATAACATATTCAGCTCTTCAGATAGAGTCATGAAGATCTCCATAATGATTAATGCAGTAGCAGCTTGGTCACGTAGGCACACACTCAATATGCTCTGAAATAAATTACCACAAGCTCAAAAGACATTCTGTATGCTATTAACCAAAAATGGGTTAAAATTTCTATGCAATTGCAATAACCAACTTCAGCTAATGGAATTTGAAGAACCATATCAACAACACTCCATCAGTAATAACCACTAAGCTAATGCACTTGAACCACATACGTAATAACTGGAAACATCAACCTACGAGACCTGAAACAGTTATATTGTAAAGATCCCATTTATATTCAATTGAACAAAACCATCAGCCCTCAACCCAACTTACATTGCTTTAGAGAGGTAAATGAGAACTTTATCTCATTTCTCATTCAAACACAAAAATAAATAAGCTGAGCCAGATTGAAGAAGATAAATGGGCCAAACCAAGCTTCAAATACAACATTAAAAGAGCTAGGTAAAATAACTAGTTGGTTATCCGTAACTAACCATATCACTCAAAAAAGGCAGTTGCTTGAAATTTAAGCACAAAATAGAAACAATGATTCATTTTTAAGAACAATGATCTTGTCATGAAATATATTCTTAGATTTAAGAAAAAAATAGAAATTTAAGCAGAATGATTCATTTTTACCCTATTCACTGCAGGTGCACCATCATCACCAAGACTTGAAGCCCACAAATTAACTAGGTCACCATCAAGTGCATCTGACTTGAAGCCTTGTCGTTCACTATCTGCTCGACACTTTTCGAGTCGCGGCCCCGATCGCTTGGACTGCATTCTCTTGTCCCTCAGCCCACCCTTCCTTAGCGAGCTTGAGGAGCGGAGGAACGCTGCCCTCTTTGCTGATGAGGGAGCTTTCGCGCGCGAAGGAAATGAGGGATGCGGCGGCGGCGGCGGCATAGTCGTCAAGATTGCCGGAACAGAGGATTTCCTCCTCTCGCTTTTTTAGAGAAAACACCTCGGCCATTCCTGTTGCGTTCTTTCAGTTTTCCTCTCGCTGGAGAACACTGTCCCTGACCTCTCGCTGTTTCTAGTCGAAACAATTTGTCAAACCCTAAACTCAAGTTCGGTTTGCCTTTGCATCTCACCTCGTCTTGCCGCTAATTTTTCCCCCCATTTTGAAACACTAATGTTATGATTTTTTAGTGGAACTTTTTTAGAAAAAATAAACAACCAACAAAATATTTAACACATTTAATCCAGACCCTTTATAAAGTGTTACAATAATAACTAGTACGTAGTCCGTGCGATGCACGGGACATAAATATTAAATGAGTCATTTCCACAGAGCTTGTCTGTTAAATAGCTCGTGTGATTTACGGGAGATATTAAATGAGTGGACAATAGGGCTTGTCAGTTAAGGCCTAAAAAACAATAGAGTTTGATCATCTATTTTTTTACCTCTTTCATCAACGTCATCTTTTTTGTCGAGACATTAAACCTGAGCCTGGTAGTGGCAGTGCTAGACCATAAATTAATTAATATATTATCTCGCTCACATGTTTATAATAATATAAATTTGATTTCATTATATATATTTATTCATTGATATAAGAAAAATAACAATTTTACGTAATCTTGTTCCTCGTATAAAACTCATATTATTTTATTATAAAATTTATTGTAATAGCATGTTGACCCGTTTATATTATTATAAATAATCTTTTAACATATATATTTATTTTTTAATACAAAATAATAATAATTTTACATATTTTGGTTCATCATAATACTCAATTATTAATCTATCAAAAAATCTATTATCATATAATGTCATTATTATTTATAACACTTGTAGAAGTAATATATTTGTTATATAATGATAAATATGTAATGTATATTAATATTATTTAGTGATGTAATTAATTTAAAAAGATATAAGCAAATTTAATGTTTGGTAGGAATGTGATTATATATAAGTTGAGATAAAATGAAATGTATCAAAAAAAATCTGCTTATGATATTTTCTTTTAAAGGTTTGAATGAATTTGAAAATTCAAATTACAAATCAACCTCCAGTTATTCAAATAATTTTAAAAAAGTTACCGGTTGTAGTAAAATGCACGTGACAATATATTATACATATACATGACGTCAGTAATGTTATGAATCTTTAAGTTCATAAAATATATATTGTTTAGATATGAAACTAATTAACTTATATGTTAAGATAATATATATAAATATATGTATTGTACGAAATATACACATGACAAGTTATTATATTTATTTATGTATTGTTTGTATATTTGTTTGTATTGTTTATTATATTTGTTTATCATATTTGTATATAAATATATTGTTTATATATTTGTCTGTATTGTACGACAAATTATTATATTTGTTTATATATTGTTTAAATATAATGTTTAGATATGAAACTAATTAACTTATATGTTAAGATAATATATATAAATATATGTATTGTATGAAATATTTAACGTGTTTGTTAAATTTTTCCCCTAAAAAATTCAAAATACATTTAGGCATGTTTTGTTTGAAGTTTTAAATTCAAATATGCATCTATATAACACATCCCATGATTTGTGCTAGCATTAAATGCTACTTGATTTTTTAATTAAAAAAATTAAAAAAACATACCAAAAATGGAATGCAATTAATATTTCCTATTTTTTGGCTTACTATTTTTGAAAAACTAGTATGTACCCGTGCGATGCACGGTGGGCGCATAACTTAAAACATATTGAAGTACTTATTTTAAATGTAATTAACAAAATTTAACATCTAATTATGGAAACAAAAAAATAAACAAAAAAGAAATCATATATTATTAAAAACTTCTCTGTACACAACATTATTTGTTTGATTTGGGGGTAAATCATGTTCACCACATATTAGAATTTTCAAACCCTTTCTGTTGGTGACGCGCGAAACAGCAACATATAACTGGCCATGACTGAAAACTGGTTTCTTCAAGAATAAACCAACGTGAGATAAGGATTGACCCTGACTCTTGTTAATAGTCATTGCATAAGAGACCACGATAGGGAACTGCTTTCTTTGAAACTTAAAAGGTACTCTTGCATCGGAAGGAGTTATCGTCATTCGAGGTATCAACACTTTATCCCCTGCATGGTCGCCCGTAAGTATCCTACATTCTAGGACATGATTGGAGAGTCTTGTTACAACCAAACGTGTCCCGTTGCACAATCCCATAGAATGATCCATGTTCCGCAACAGCATAACCGGAGTTCCCACCTTCAGATGCAACTCATGATTTGGTGTACCAGAACACTTGAGAGAATTTAAGAACTCAGGAGTGTGGATTTCTGACAAGAAGTCAGAATCCAAATCGGATTTACATGTACTGTCGGAGCTCAAATATACACGACCTTCTGTTAGATTCAACGACGATATGTATTGGTTGATAGACTCAACGATCTCCAACGTTGGTGCAAGTATGGCTCTGTCCTTCAGATAACTTGGATCATCTGTTGCGTTCTTGAACATTGGATACGTGCTCTCAACAATTGCAGCAATGAGGTCATCGGATGGGTCTATTAATAGATCATCTGGTATTTCAATGGAGGCACAACCATCGTTAACACCTCCAATAGTACCATCTCCGATGCTAGCAATCCAATCAGCAAATTTAGAAAGCTCCTCACATTCATCCGAATCATCAAGGCTCTGAAGACGCATGTTCTTCGTTAACCTAAGCACGGTACAATCTTGCCAAATGGTTGAAGCATTTATCGAAGCATTAACAATCTGTTGACGGTTCCCCTTTGGAATCACTGGTAGGATTTGTCGAAAATCCCCACCAAAAACAACAGTCTTGCCACCAAACGGTTTATAATGGTTGATCGGGTTGACCGTTCCCATGATCGCCTGAAATGACGTTTGAACAGCTTCGAAGCAATGCTTATGCATCATTGGAGCTTCGTCCCATATGATGAGGGAGGACCGTATAATTAGCTCTGCCAGAGGGCTAGCCTGGTTGATATCACAGGACGCATTTTCGTGAAGATTAATAGGTATGCCAAAGCGAGAGTGTGCAGTTCTTCCACCAGGCAACAGAAGAGAAGCTATTCCACTCGATGCAACACAAAGGACGATCTGACCCTTCGATCGCAATCCCGCAGCTAATGTTCTCCACAAGTACGTCTTACCGGTTCCGCCATAACCGTAGACAAAGAAAACACCGCCCTGACCTGAGTCTACCGCTGCCATAATTCTTGAATAAACTCCTTTCTGTTCGTCAGTCATATTTCTAAGAAGATTACTGTGCTCGACAGATAAGGCCTTGCGGTCATAATTTAGCTCATCCAAAATCAATCGATTTGTACTCATAGTAACACCGGTCATATCAGGAAAAGGCATTGTTGGATATTCTCGAAGACTCGTACCGCGACGTCTCAACAAATGTTCAATTTCAGCGAGAGCTAAATTTTTTATATCTGCATCACTCAGCTGCAAACCTAAGAAGGAAAACAATTCAAAGTCAGAATTACAAAAAATCGACTATAGTACTTAAAAAGGAAATGAAAAATAATAAAATAAACAATAAAACATAAATAAAAATTAAGTCACATACTTTCATTATTGAAGAGAAGACGTTGTCTATAAACGATGTCATCAGAGAGAAAATCCAAACACTGTTCCCATACGTGCTCGGGTCTACCTAACGATCCAGAAACCAACAACGTTGCAAACATGCGTCTCAGAGAATCAGCAGATGCCTATTGACTTGCCTCAGATATGCCATCAACGTACTCACGATCGTCACCCAACAAACCTAGAGCGTGGCAAGCATCACGATACGACGAATATTGAACGTTGGCTGCCTTCATATAATCCTCGTGGCAAGTTGCTCCACGGGTTACATTAAGCATGCACCTCAAATAGAAATTATCGCCGGCGTTAGGAGGAACATAGCGCAGGCGGGGTATAGCGCCATCTCTGATTCGAGGGGTCCACTCTCTCAACGTCGGGTTCCAAACAAATTTCCTTGGTGCCTCAACATATTGAGCTCCCTCGCCTCAGGATACTTCTTGTTCGCTTCCATCCATGCCAAAAATTGACTCTCATTTACAGTGGGTTTTTGAATAACCTCATCAATCCGATCTTCATCCTCAAAAATAACGTACTGTTCGCCTTTCAAATGGAAACTCAAACGTTGTACAGGAGGTTTTTTGTACTGAAGTTCATAACCCAACAACCTCCAAGCCGCCTCACATGAAGAAACATATCTACAGTCGTAGAACATGTTAATCTCGTCAACAGGCTTATCCAGCTCTCCGTCTCCGGTCGCCTGATAAAACGATGCGGTGACACGATCATTGCCCTTATTGACATATTTGAAGAGGTACTTGATGGACCGGGATTGATTGCACCACTCAACATTTATGTGAGCACCATATTTCATCAACAATTTCCCATTGTGGGGCACGACAAAACCGTTATGGACAACTACACCATTTTTATCCATATGTCTTCCGTTGTCCCGACGCCTATACCGCGGATAGCCATCATCATCGACAGTCGTGAATTCAAGAAATGGTTTTGGAAAACGTTTACTGCATTTTCCATCAACCATGCACGGAGATTGCTTTCTGGCCAATCCACACGGGCCGTGGATCATGTGTTCCTTTACAGCTTCATAATAAGAAGGATCAGAAGACTCATCAGGTATCTCAGCAGAGATAATTCTATCTATGTCCGAAGGATCGGGAAACTTGTTTTCCTTTGCTAAAAAAAGAAGTATATGGGCATGAGGCAATCCGCGTTTTTGAAATTCAACAGTGTATACAACTGAAAACAAAAAAGAAGAGAATGTCAAACAATTATGAATATTACTGTAGAAGAATTCAAAAGAAATCAAATTTTGTAAAATAATGATCGTACCTGCTATTACTTTACCAAATATTTGTTTCTCACGGAAATCCCGTATCAACTGCTTTAATTTTGATCTAAAAACTCTGCAAACGATATCGGGACGATCCTCAGGACGTAAGTTCTTTGGGCCTAAAAAGCGAAGGATCTCGGGCCACTTTGGGTTGCATGTGAATGTTATAAACAAATCGGGATAACCTGCCCATCTGCATATCGCCATTGCATCCTGATAGTTTTGAATCATATTCCGAGCCCCCCAGT